AGTTTGCAGAATGCGTGGAACAAGCCTAGCACATGTGATTAGAGAGATTAAAGGGAAACATTTTATCGTAAACGTTTCGAGAGAATTTAATTCACCTGAAAGCTTTTAGAGGGTATCGCCACGTTTGGAAAGTTACTGCAAAATTCACTTTGCGACTCCCGAGTCGTGCAATTGCAATATTTTCAAACAGGACGATTGAGTTTTCGTGCTTTCATCGTGACCGGGATATAACAGGGTCTTCCGTTTCGTCTTTCTAAGACAATCAACTTTTACAAAACACACCGTACGTCTAATTATGTCGGTCACTTGGTTCCTTTATCCACGAAACCGTAGGTTTCCTTTGGACAGCTTCTGGTATTTAATTCTTCACCTCGAAACACGAAGTCTTCTCCTCGGGAATTGAAAGGAGATTCGAAGTTTTGTATTTTCTTCCTTCAGGGATGCAGATTTTGATCTTGGGATTAGCAAGATTTCAGTCGGCATATTCCTCGAAGGGATTAAGAGATTACCTGACCTAACTTTGTTTCTTTTCTGGTGGACTGAAGCATTAAAAATTGATCTCCTCGATAAACCTGCTCTTTCCTCTGCCCTTCATTATCTACAGAGAATGATAAAACAGAAACAGATCAGACTTTGCTGGGAAATAAATATAAATAATTATAGAAAATTTGAGCAAAAAGAATCTTGCTTGTTCGACGCTCCTGACCAGGAAACCTTAAAAAATTCGCAGCAGAAGATGCTAAAATCAGGATAAAATAAGTTAAAGGATAAAGTGAAAAAAAAAAACAGGGAATGCTGATTTTTACAACGCCATTTTTATTAATAGCAACCGGGACTGTTTTATCCTTCTCCGTATTCCCGAACGGGTCAACACATTCTGCTCGAAACCATAAACTACCTGCAACACGTTTCTCCGTGTATACTCCTATGCTAAAGCCAGGCTTCTTAAATAATGCAGCAACTTCTAAACATTGCACGGCTGACGCGAGGTGAAAAAAATGAACGATAGCACGGCTGCCTTCTAAACGCGGCGTTTCTCGCCTCTAATAGATCGTAGCAGCGGTGCGGTTAATTTTTTCCTCCGCCGCGGCTAGGGATTAAAATAAAAGAGAAAGGAGAGGTCCGGTGTGTTGCCACGGAACCGAAATAATTACAAAAGATTCGAAATCGAGCCGCTTACACACTATAATCCTCGTGCATACGCATACACATTTTTACCGCGTCGCTGCATCTCCGCGATATTGCCTGGGGGAATATTAATCCTAGGGAATTTTTCCTGTCTTCTTCGTCTTCGCTCATGCGAGAAGCGACGCTGAATAGGTCCATGGACAGAGAGTACGAGAAAGAGAGGCGTAGCAGACGGCTGTAAGAAGAAAAAAAAAGGAAGAAGCAAAGAGATGGTTAAATCGTCTTCGTCGTTGGTGCTCACAGAGTCCACGCGCTCGCTCGCGAGCTCCGTGCTTTCACGATTTCTCGATCTGGAACTGCTCTCGAATCAGGTTGAAAACCAAGCGAGTGACTCTCGATCGTCGATCCGTGACACCTTAAGCGTGCCTATGTAGACACACGCTTGGCACACGCGCCGTGTTCGAGAAATAAAACGGCCAAGTTATGCCGCTTTTTCCGCCCTGCTCTCCCTCTACCCGTTTCTACGTGTTTACGGCAATGCACATACCGGGTGTCCTTGCGGAATGAAAGTACCCTGGAAAACGTGACCTCTCCTACCACCTATGAGTAATGCTAACCGCAGGCCAGGCACAGCAGCCATGGCTGATGGATCATGGTTGTGCAGAAACCGACGGTAACGTGGCTCCCTTCTCTGCTTTCACGAACGGCCAAGTTTTCCCCGATTTTTACCGCAAGTCGTTCATTCAAGTGCAAGTGTGAAATGCGCTCTTGCGCCGGACGGTTATTAAACCCGCGCACTTTCCTCCTTTATGAATTGCTAATACCGAAAAGGAGAAATTTGTGCGAAGATTAATTCCTCGTCGGAAGTATTTCACTGGAAAATTGTCGGACAGAGTGTGAAGAGATAGTTTTCCTCTTCCGAGGAGGTGCGATTTTGTATCTAATTTTCTTCCGCAACCCGAGCAATAATACAGCTCAAGTTTTTATGCAATTTTATATCTTAATTTTCTTCTGAAAGCTTCTGGAACCCGATGTTCCCTCGTTCGTGAGAGGAAATTTCATTTCGATTTTCTATAATTTCACATTTTTATGGGAGAGACTATTAGAATTACGGTAATAAATTAAAAGATATTATTTTAATTATGAATCTTCTTTATTTTGATACGCGAGGAAGGCACATCGCTACGCAATCAATCAAACAAGAAACATCGACAAGACGCAGAGAAAAAAAGAAACACGTATCGGCGTCACACATGCTAAACAGATGATTACTATGTCATTTCTATATATATATATACAGTGGAGGACAAAAGTATTCATACACCCTATAAAATGGAATGACTTTTTTAAAATTGGGCCAAACGACTCGAGTTTTTTTGAGAAGTTAGAAAGATTAGTAAACAAATTTTTGAAAAAACTGCAATTAGTCGTAATGAAAATTTAGAAAATACGTTTCGTAGATCTATGTCAATTATACACACGCTGAAAATTTCATCGAAATCGGTGGATGGAGAGACAAGCGACAGGCATCGAAAGATGTAGGAATCTTCAGATTTCTTACGATTATAGGCCGAAAGTCGTGAAACAGTGCGATTTTCACAATCTTTAACCGTTTGTAGCTCATAAGAACATTAAGAGATATTTATAAAACAAGTAAACAAAGTCGTGCTAAGAATCACGTTGGCCGAGCGTATTTCCTAATAGAAGATTATTAATTTGAAGATATCTCAGTAATTATTCGTTTTAAGTCCCACTTTGTAATAATACTTCTTTACGCAAAATTTGACGATTTATCCGAAATCGAAAAGAAATATTAGACATTCCATTTAAAAAACTGAATGTGACCCTAATATCTCAATAAAAGAGTAAGGTAATAAAAAACAGATTAGAGCACTCTATGTACCCCTAGATACCATGCAACTTTTGTTTGAAACATTTTTTCGTACAACGAATAACTTACTAGTTATTTGAAGTTGTCATGTTAGGAGACTCACCATGTATATACAGGGTGTCCCGTAACTCCTCGAACACCCGGAAATGGGGGGTTGCTGGGGTGACTCTGAACAACTTTTTCCTTTACCAAAATGTTGTTTAAAGCTTCATTTTTGAATTATTAACGAAAAACACTGGCCAATCGGAGCGCGCGCAGAGCCCGCTCTCAGGGACGAAGAACAGAGGCTCATTCGCGCGCAGATTCCGACTGACCCTGAGCGCGGGCTCTACGCGCGCTCTGATTGGCCAGTGTTTTTCGTTAATAATTCAAAAATGAAGCTTCAAACAACATTTTGGTAAAGGAAAAAGTTGTTCAGAGTCACCTCAGGAACCCCCCATTTCCGGGTGTTCGAGGAGTTACGGGACACCCTGTATATATATATTTATATTAATCTGTCTCAGTATGTCGATCATTTTTGCTGTTACTATTACACAGACACATACTCATTTCTCCTTATAATCCAACAGAAACAAAAGGATACGTTGCAACAGTACGGTGCTGAAAAAGTATTTCTGAATGGATACATAACCTCGAAATCAAATTGGCGTTTAGAGGTTAAGTTGCGCTGGAAAGTAGCAGTTCAAACGTGTAGAGCTGTTTTCAGAAAACTGTAGAAATTTCTTCGGCGCTCGAAGAGCAGAAAATGTGACGCAGCTTGATAATTAACTATCCGATAATGCGATTATAAGTATGATACGGTAAAGAGTAACAAGCAATCTCCCCTTAAGGAGTGTATTTAAAAGAGAAAAAGGAAATTTGCGAGGGAACAAACGTTCTTCGCGGCGCTCGTTTTCATTAAGCACGCAGAACGAGATGCTGAAAGTCCTTCACGTCGCGCGATGAGAATGTTAATGCCGGCGCATTAACATAAAAGCATCGTTGAATACGCCGCTCAAGATTTTGTAAATTGTTATTCTAAATGCGCCGGTTACTCGTGAATTATTACACCTGGCCCCGGCTCTGCAACGTTTCAGAGATAATTCGTGCAATTTCGCTGCCCGTACGAACTTCCTCCGACGAATAGCAGTTAAATTCACTTAGCGCTGTATCAGCATGATACATTAGCATGCTTGGCAACTGTTTCGACTTTGTTAATCGTCTTTATATTAATTTGAATACAGAGGATCTCCTTGAATCGCTCTTCGCCTCCCCTCACAGCCTACGTCGTAATTTACAGATTTTCCGAAATTTCCATAATCCTCAAATTGCGCGCATTTCGCTCGTTCCTCTCGCTCCGTTAAAATTCATTGTTTGTCCGTCACAACTGTGCAAGCGACTATACTTCCCCTTTGGAAATTTTGCAAAAACGTAAACCGATACTTTGCCGATAATTAAAGCGTCTAAATATTAGATCCTCAGATCACAGTAATATTCTGTGAACGATACACTAAAGAGAATTCACTGAAAAGGGACGGAAAAATGAACGCACCATCCAGGTACCATTTCGCAAAATAAGTGAAAATCCTCGTAACCAACTTTGTCGATGAATTACTTCACTGTTAATTCGTACAAGAAGGAAAAAAAGAAACAAAGATATTAGACCGAATGTGAAACTATCAGGAATAATGCTAATGCTCTAAAAGCTCTTACCGTTCAATCCAAGTGCCTCGTTGTCGAGGTTTTCAACGACACAGAATGACCAATAAACGCCCAAGGCGGTGTATATCGTTAAACGAGTCCCTCTTTTTTGCTTAATTCCAGGTCCGGCCGACGAACAGAGACGAATCAGGAGGAAATTTATCGGTTTCCGATCCCGAACGATCGACTTCGCGAAAGTGGAGCGGCTACGTGAGATCCGGTTTCGGAAGGACGGAAAAATATGAGCATCTCGTGAAGTCGGTTAAAAGTGCAGCTTTCAGACATCGAAGGTGTATATACCATGGAAACCGAAGAACTCACTAGACTCGTAGATGAGATCTACAAGGTAAGCGCGTATCCAATTGAGTATCGATCTTAGAGATCAGCTCACCTCGACGGCTTTGTTCGCCGCGGCGCGGAATCCCTGTGGTTTCACCGCGATAGAAACTGCAGCAGCGCGGGGGAAACGGGAAAGTTCTCTGTTATACTTTCGATAAAATTGGTCGATCGAATCGGCTAATTGCGTAATTAGGCGACAACCTCTTCGATTAACGCTTTTTACCACCGACGAGCACCACTTGTTGGTGAAAAGTGAAACTTCTACTAGGCACTGACGATTTCGATCGACACAGATCGTGGTGAAAATTTCTCGACGTTTCAACGTAATGTTACGAAATTTTTTCGAAATTCTCGCCTTTTTCAAGAAGTAAACTTCGCGTAGATAAGTGTTTAGCGTAATTCACAGAAGTTTGCTAATTTTGAATTTTTGAAGAATATACTTGAGTGAAATAGGCGTGAAAAATTCTCTTGATATGAGCTGTACGCGTTCATTTCTGTGTCACAATGTCACTGTACGCTCTGTTAATTCTGTTTCACCGTGAATTTTCTTCGTGAAAAAATTGGGAATTGTTCTGATACGCGTATTACCCTGCCAACATATTTTCGCAATTACTCGTACACGGAGTTAACGAATTTTCCGGCGAATCTCATCACGTAGACGAGGATATCCGTGCAAACAGCAAGATAGACCGATCACGTGTCACTTGACACACGTGGAGTAATGAAAAATGGGTTTCTACACGTGTGCTTACTCTCGTACACACGAGAACACTATCTTCCTATGAAATTTACGTTGCAATCTTCTTCTCTTTAAGGGTTTAGCAAGTTTCTCTGGAGTCTATACATCACGCAGCAGTGATAAGCTGCTATCTTACTGTCCAGCGACGTTGCTTCAAGTTTTCCAAGAAAACAGCGAAACGCGAAGATTGAAAAACTCTGATTCCACCATCTGCTATTCTTATTCATACGTATTAGCTGTCGTTAAGTATAATAGACTAATATTTTTCACGAGCTCTCCCATCACACATTTATTTCCATCTGAAGATTCTCGTTCCTCGTTTCTTTCCGCTTTATCTCTCCCATTTTTACGGTCAAAGTAAATGGATATTGATCCATGCTCCTGGAAATCACTTTCATCAATTCACTCGAAAAGTTTCTTCCTCGAATATCTGAACTTTGGAAAATGTCGGGAACACAGAGTAAGTTTCGCTGTATACTCAGCCACGATCGTAAATAAAAAGACCGCTGTTCGTTGCAGAGCGGGAATATTGATTAATTAAATTCACCCGAGACATTCTTACTCCAGATTTTCGTAACGTGGAAAATTCGCAAGTTTCTGACGTAAGCTTGACGTCGATGTTATTTTTCCATTTTTGAGATAACATTTTATAGGTTTATTCAAACAATTTTCAATCTCTCCTAAGAATTTCAGAAAACGATTTATTTAATCAGAAATTCTCCACAGTAGTTTCTCCACGTTAAAAATTAAAAAATTTTCCTAACCTGTTGATTAAGAGAAACAAGTCAACTGGAAATTAGAAGGATCACCGTTTAAAAGACAGTTTATTTAATCAGAAATCCTCCACTTTTAGTTTTATCCTAACATAAAATGTATTAAAAATGAAACTGAAGAATTTTCCTAACCAGTTGATTAAGAGAAACAAGCGAACTGGAAATTAGAACGATCACCGTTCAAAGAACAACAACCTATCCAATCACAAGTCCTCCACATTTAGTTCTACCCAAACACAGCAGCATTCTTAAAAAAAAAAAAACACTGAAAAATGTGTTACACTCGTTCTCTTTGGAAAAGGAATTTCACGCAAAATTGATCCCCGACGCAACATCGTCGACTTTCTCTATCCACCAGCCAGAACCACGATCCTCGTTGCCGTAATACACACGTTGTATCGCGGAACGAAAAGCGCGGATCCAGCTGACTCTACTAAAAGTTCCTCGTGTCTCAGTTAATCCATCCGTTTATCCCTCCGCTTATCTGTCTGTGTCTGTCCTGAAAACGTGCGTTTACGCGGAACGCCGTTAGTAGACACGCTTACCGCAGAATTTCCCGATAATTAGGTGTCGCCTCGGAAAATTATCCGTCGCGAATACAAGTACGGGGCAGCAAAAGCTGGCTGGCTCGGTGTAGGATGTAAGAGAGAGAGAGGAAGGTGTAGGGAGCAAGAGTCGTAAGCGTTGGATGGCATTCAGAGGAGCGAGAATGATTAGGCGGAAGGTAATCTTATTAGTCGTTCGGTAGTCAAGCTTTTCTTTAAACTTCAACGCGCCCTTCTTCTCCCTCTTCGTCTCTTCGCGTCGTACAACTCGGCATCACCCTCGTAGACGAGACCCGTTACGCCTACTAACGACGGATATTTCGCGGAGAACGTTGAAAATCCCGCGATATAGTCATCGGCTTACACAACCGCTTACGATCTTCTTTCCTACCATTTCCCAACGACGTATCGATTACCCCCCGAGCCACTTGTAAAGATGCTGTTGACTAACGAATATTACGTTATCCCATCGAGACGTGCTCACCTTGATGAAACTTCTTTTTTCTTTTTCATTTTTTCACGGGCAAATATTCTGATCTAGGGGATCAAGTGTCCGCGGATAGAAATTAAAGGGAAATCGATCGCTCGGGGGAAAATTGACGTGTTCCAATTGTACGATACTCTCTCTTTGTAAGAGGAAATGTCACACTGTTGAAGTTGGAAAGCTTGTGTAAGCTATACTTTTGACGGGAAAATGTGTTCGTTTGGTATTTAGCGGTGGCAAATTGCGAGGTATTGGTATATTGGTCGGAATGAAACGTAGTTAAAAGCTCGTGTTTAAATATCGAAATGCATTCATAGGTGTGTTGTTACCAGAGTGTCGGAAAATGGTTAACGATCCGCGTCAATAGATCAATGGAAATGTATCGTGTATAGTCGGGGTCACGATATAGCGAGGTCGTAAAATCGGTTAGGCGTCAAAGTAAACATGTTTTAGCTGCCGGGACCCGAAAATTGACAGAGATACGAGCAGATAAGTACTTGAAACCATTGTCAGGACCGTACGAAGAATTCTTGTATCCAGCGAAAGTCAACTGATTCTAATATATTTACTGAAAACTGCATGCAGCTAGGACAAATTAGGGTTTCTCCCTCTGGGGGAAGCCGCTTTTGGAAGTACGGTTACAGGTAAAGGTCTTATTGATGTCTTTAGCATCTTAGTTTATCTACTCGTGTTATATACAGATAGAAAGTGCAAAAAGATTGTGTAGCTTTAATATTAACATATTTTCCATTTGTAAATGAAATACCATTTTCTACTCGAAATACCAAATCATATGCTACCATTCGTTTATTGTTGGAACCCTCAAACAGACTGCAACACACGGCCTTGAGTGCCGCAACATCAATCGGTGCCGATTCTTGAGAGTTTAATTTACGACCTCGCTATATCGTGGCCCCAACTATACATACGTATGTATACGCGACAATGTTCGTTAACGCGAAACTTGTTAACTTCGGCCTTTTCGTCGGCACGATCTTCCCCCGTGCAAATTGTGTAATAATCATCGGTGGAATCTCCTACCGTGAACTTTTCCAATGAAAAATTGTGCCCGCCGTTGGATATGCTAACTTCCCCGTTTATTTCTTCCCTCGCAACTTCTTTCCACGCGAACAGTACAAGCGGAACTTCCGAAGTCATTACCTCGGTACTTTGCGCGAGAATTCACTCGAGGCGTCCTTATCATTAGCCAAAGATATCAGATGTAACAAGTTTGTGAAATAGTCGCTCAACTTGTAGCTACGGTCGCCTGCTCGAAGAAAACGGGAATATCAGGGAAGATCGTAAATTCGTGTAAAACACAATTGCAGTTTGTTGCTCACTTCCTACCCACCGTAGATCTTGCGTGCCTATCTGCGCGGTTCAGAGTAATCGGTAGAGTCGAAGACACCACGAATCTCGAGTAATTCAGAGACACAAAGAATGATTGTACGTCGAGTAAAATTCCGGTGAAACAACGTCGAGATTTTTCACCGACCGTTCTCCCATCAGAAAACCAGATTTCTATGGAGCTTATTATATTCTCTTCGCCATAATAACCAGTGTCTCGGTCTGTCCGAGACAAGAAGCGGAGATACAAGCCAGTCGAGCCTGAAGAGATCCTGCGTTTCTGAATTATTCTCCCGGGGCATTTAATAAGAGAGGAATAAAATTGTTTACAATAATTATCGTCTTCCTTAATGAAGTTTCTCGGTTAAGCTGCGAGGCAAGAGTGTGGCGGAGCTTCGTTCGAAGGGAAAAGGACGAAAGCGACTGAGATCTATTAAGACGGAAACGACAATTACCGGTTTCAACGGTTTTATTTTCGACGACCAGACGAATTGGGTAAATCGTTAATAAAACGTGACAAATTGGAGGGACATCGGTTCCAAGGATTTACCACTGGCGGACCATCCAATTAAATATGACCTGTAGCGATATCCACTCCACCATCGGGGAAACTAACTGGAGAAATATCTATCTCTCTGGCGAGTCTTTGGCTAGGCTTTAATTCGCAAAAATACAACCTTCAACTCGTGTCTAAAACATCTCCTAATTGTCTTCTGCTTTCAATGAAATTTTTTAATAAAATACTAAGTGAAATAATGATTTTTCTTAATGGTAGACTCCCGTGTATCCAACACTTTCTTCCGTTAAAGCTCTGTTAACAGTCGTCAAGTAACAACGCCATCACAACCATTTCTTCCGTAGTAAAATCTGATATTTCCTTTTGTTATCTACGTGCCGGTAAATTGCGGATGTAGAACTGATATCGTATCGACACACGTAAGCTGATAGCCTCTAAAGTGTCGATGTTGGTCTCGCGTTGGTCTGATACCGAGCTGTTAAGTGGGTGACAGTCTTCGCTCACGCATTAACCAGAATAGCTAAACTCAATACGAAACGTATCCGTTCTTCCACTTCCCTTACCCACCTCTTCTCATTCACCATCACTTTCCTCCATTCATA